GGGGGGGGGGGGGGGGGGGGGGGGGGGAAGAGACACCATTAACATATAGAGCTCTCCTCTACCACCCCTCTTGTGGCTCAATAAAGTAAGTTTATAATATTTTACATCAGCCATATACACTTCAGTCCTGCCTTCAATTATTTTGGCCTCATTTTCCAACAGATGGCAATGCCCACTACAACAGATGGGATGTCCAACTGTGGAAGTGGAGTGGTGATAGGATGGGGGCTTCTTCACAGATTTACAGTCAACTAATCAAGGTGTTGGATGTTTTACAGGAATTCTCTCTCTCCCCGTCCCTGCTACACAGCCCTGCCTATTCTGAAAATGGCTGAAATACTAAGGCAGCTGACTGACATAGGGAAAAAAAAAGAAGCAAAACAGCGCTTTACCAGAAAAGGAAGTGTGTTAGTTGGACCCAGCTTGCCAGTGTCTGTATAGATCATGTGCTTCAATGGGGCTTTTTGGTGCTTTTATCTGAAGCTAATTCAGTCAGCTATTAGAAAAAAGTGCCAAAAATCCCTGCTGAAGTGTGTGATCTATACAGACATTGGGTGAACTGGGCCAAACTAACGCAATGTCTCTTCTGGACAGGCGCTGTGCTTGGTGCAGGGGTGCTTCGAGCTTAAAGTGCTGGTTTGCTTGGTTTTTTTTCACATCTGTAAGCAGCCTAAATGCACAGCTCTCCACCGTAGCAAGGCAATGTTTGCAGCTTATAAACTGGTCTCAACTAATACTTTATGCATTCCTCTCATTTAGCATGAAATTCACCCTTAGGAGTGAGGGCTAACTCAAGAACTTTACATCAGTAAGTACACAAAATAGGACTCAAGTTGGACTTAGTGATGCACAGCTTCAGACTATGCAGGAGTGAATTTTTTTCATATATTTGATTTAAAAAAGAAAGAGGAAGGTATAAACTGGAACTACTTAAAAGACAGACAAGCCAAAAATCAGAGCACTTTTAATGCAGTGTATCAAAACAGAAAATTGTTTAGCATGAGTACTCACTCTGTGCAGATTTTATTCTGTTTGTAAAACTTATGTCTTGCAGCAAACAGCCGTGAAATATATTTGGCATTTTCAATGTCATCCTTTGAAACACAAGAAAAATTGGAGAAGCCACCTAATTATTCAGTTTGCTACTATTACAACAAAATGGTTTCAGCAATAAAGAAAACACTTCAAAAATGCAATAGCAAGAATGTCTGATGAGGGATGTCGCACACACAGTCAGCTGTCAAGAACACATTTATTGCCCTCCAGAGTGAAACACTGGAGTTACCCAGGCATGCCTACATGCTGAAGGCAGGGTGGATATGTACCTTACAGACTAACTAAATAAGATATATAGAGAGCACACGCTTTTGTGAACTCAAGTTCACTTCATTAGATACTGTGAAAGGATAGCATAGAGCAGCATATAAAGGAGTGAGTGATTTGAGTGAATGATGTCAACATGCTCCTACCTCATTACTAAGTCAGAGTGAAAAAGCAACAATATAAGAGCTATGTTAAGCAATTTACATACTGACCTATGCTGGGGGAATGTGGGAGGAGAGGGGACAGTGGGGAGGTTTGCAGGAGAGGAGGGAGCTGTGTGGAGACACGGGGTCTCAGAGAGGTGCAGATCAGCATTGCACCACCTCTCCCAGAGCTCTGCAGTGTTCAAGCAGACTATTGATGTTTAGAGTGCTGCAGCTCTCCCAGCATGATGTGTTGTGTGGGAACACATCTTATTCACAAGGCAATACAATGTTCAACTGTGCTTTCCCAACAAAACACGGTTTAGGCAGTCTGGAAGCTATCAGAGAGACCTAAAGGTAAAATCTGATTGATGTCACCCTCTGAATATGGGTGAAGTGAATGTGTTAGAGGGTGAGCAGATGACAGGCTGAATTTGCATTCACTACTCTCCCAATACAGGTGAGTGAGGAGACAGCCCTCTTCAAACAATGTGATTTCAAGTTCATTCTTTCTTCAGTGCTAAAAAGCTCTCCTACTGATACTATTTCGTCTTTTTCTTACTGTATGAAAGAGCACGTTTTCTTCTTTGTTGATCAACTCCAGAACAATTGTAGACTTGTTATGTGCTATATTCCCAATATCATTCCACCTGCAGGAGAAAAGGTGTTGCTGAGTTTGCCAATGCATACATTCAAACATTTCACAGACAAGTTAAGAATATCATAGTTAATGTGCAGTCTTATTTTATGTTGGGAAAGTTCACAAGCTGTTTTGACAAAGAAACGGTCAGGAAAAAAATTCAAACCAAACCAAACAAAGCCAAAAACACCCAACCAACCAATCAGATTCCATGTTTAAAGTCACTCCAGATTTTAAGTAAAATATTTCTTCTCAAATAATGGAAATTTGAAGGGTTATAGTAAAAGACTTTTTTGGAAATATATGAATGCTCAATTCTAAGCTGAATTCCATTTGATCACAGTTTAATTATAGTTTGACTACCTAGCTGGAAAGGAAACAGAGTTCTCTCACCTTCTCTCCCTTACAAAAAGTCTTGTTTGCAATTTCCCTAGACTGAAAGAATAGCCAATCTTCTGCTGAGTCTTACCTGACAGTTTTTAATGCAGTGTTTTTAAGCTATAGATACCAAGTTCACATCTGTCTTTTATTTTTCTAATTTTAACTTTTCCCCTCTAGGTATTCACACTGCCCAAGAAGAAAATGTTGATCTTTTTAAAAACTGATTGCACCATTTGTGTCTGTAACATGCAATCTGGTGAGATGGAAAGGATTTGCTCTTTTGAAAAAAAATGCACATGATACATCCTGTCATGACATGCAGTGGAATGCTTGCTGCAAACAGAACAAAACAAGGACGCTACAGTTCTCAGAGGACACCTACACCATTCCTCTCCCTCCTCCCACGAAATGTTACACTTCTGGAACCGAAAAGTTGAAGAGATCTTGAGAATCATACCATTTAAAATAAATATACTTTGATTTCTTTAGGTAACTACACAATCAAAAATACGAAAATACACAGACAGGACCAGGATCAGATTCTTGACAATGTTAGGGGGAAAAAAAAGATAAAATAAGCCCTTAAATGAAGGGCAAAGAAATAAGAAAACCTTGAGGTGTAAAAGAGGCTTCAGGTATAACCTATAGTCAGGCTTATTTAAAATATCTGTTTCATTATAAGATCTCTACAAATTCTCACAAACGAATGGCACTGCTTACAAACAATTTATAATGAGCTAACTATGAAATATTCTGATCTCAGAGATATATATATATTTTTTACCATCTAGGCCTGTTCAATGGACAATGTAAAAGGAGTTCACTCCAATCTAGTTCCTGCTAGACACCTTCAAATATGAACAGTTCAGTTCACACAAATAAACGGCAGTGGCCAAGATTTTCAAAATTATGAGCTTAAATGAGCCCCTTTACTCATAACATGATACCTGAGTAAAGTAATAAAATTTTCCTCTGTACTTAGCATCCAATGGTCCTCCATCAGTCTCAAAATATACTTTGTGATATAAGAAAATCATTTAAGCAAACTTCTACTGCAACGGCAAAAGGAAGAGAGTCACTGAAGCCTTAAAAGTATATGGCCTTGTCTCTGTCCATCAAACTTTCACAGACAACCCAGGCTATCCTTGAACACATTGACTCTTAAGGGCAACGAGCCAATCCTGAAAATCATTATTCACCAAGTACTCCTTATGCACAAAACTAGTTACTTTTGTAAAAGGGCGGAAAAAATACAACACAGTATATGAAATGGGATTCATTTTAAAATACAGAAATATGTTTACCTGTATGTGATTGGCCTTCCAATTCTATTTCTTATGAAAATTCCCATGAAGAAAATACCAAAATGTATGTCATTTCCATGATTATCCTGCATAAAATCAACATGAACATTCAGTTAAACACAGAAAAGTCATTTCACATGAAGAACCCAATTACGAGGTCAAAATCTATCATGCAAACAGCACATAAGAGTTCATAGGTAGTTTTTTGTAGTTTAACCAAAAAATTAAAAAGCACATACAGCTGTTGTTTCTCACATATAAGATATCTGAAAAATAATTCATGAACACAAAACAACATGGCTAAAAGGATTACTGAATGGAACGGCAAAGCATGCCCTAGGACAGCAGTCAGCAACGCTTTTTGGTGGTTGGTCGAAATTACTCAGTTCAGGTCCAAGATAAGCTGGCCCTAAGATCTGTCTCCTGCCACCTTCTCCCCCCCAACTACAGTACAGATAAAGTCACTGCTGCTGAAGCCCCCAGCTCCAAAGACCAGATCTAATGGCTCCCTGGGCTGAATTCAGCGTGTGGGCCACAGAGTAACAACCCTTTTTCTAGGAGAACTCTAGAAAGAATCAGAAACATCTGCTAGTCCATACAATAAGGTTTTGACACATTCACTTGACCTTTGTGGCCATATTTTCATCTAGCCTTAAGCGGGCCTCCATTTTTAAAAACGGGACAATTTATGCAGCTTAGATGTTAAATATCTGATTTGTGGGTGCAATCCACTATTCACAGGTATAAATAACAAAGTACATGGCTTCTCATAATGGGAAAAAATAATATATAATGATATTTGCAAATTTGGCTCTGCCTCAATGTACTCTTCTGTACAAAGGAGATGGTACTTACCTGTATCATGAGACCACTGTACAGTGCTTTTCAAATGGAAGACACCATATAACTATCAAGAATTACTTTTACAATAGGCAGTGGATCATAGTTTATTTGAAAGGATTCTCATGTTACAAATTCAGTTCTTTGAAATACAATACAACATTTCTACTTGTCCAACTTTATACAGTCAGTTTGCGCCTCTGATTATTGTTCAGCACCAAATAGAAAGCCTAGTGAGGATTAACGTCTAAACCACTAAATTCCTGCAGAATCTATAGCTCATATGCATAAAAAGGGTCAAGACTGACTTACTGTGAGGTGGAAGGTGGTGTGCTCTTCCATGTCAATTTCTCCACAACATACATTAGCATGTGTTCTCTTACCCCACAACAGATTAAATTGAAAGCAGTAACTTAAGACTTTTTCATCAAGGACTAAGGGTATTTTTCTGCATGTAAAGGGAAATCTACCCTCCACCTCTGAAAACAGCAGTATTAAACGAAAAGTGTGTGTATGTGGGGGGTGGTTCAGTGAATAGCAAATTTTTTGAAGATACGATTCTGGAGGGACCCATGTTATTTGTGAAATCAGGATGAATTTGGCAACAGTTTCTACCAAATGATAGGAAGAGATATTTTGAAGAAGTCTAAATATTTCATAACAACATTTTTCAAAACTGAGTGCTTCATTTAGGAAATGACAATATTTTTCATTCTGACATCTTCTAAATGAAACTGACTCTTTGTTTGGAAGTGACACTTTGATTTAAAAGTAACCCTACATTAAAAAAACAAACAAGCAAAAAAAATTTCATTTTGTCTTATACAAGAATGTTTGGGCTGATCACCAAAATATACTTCCCCCGCCACTTTGACTATTTTTTCCCAGCCACTGAACTGAAAAAACATCCATTATTCACCATACTGTAAAAGAGAGTTCCATCTCCCTTTCACCATGCAGAAGCTGCAAAATCTCAGGTTCAGTGGCCTAATGCTAAGACCTTAGTAATATCCTGTAGGTGTTGAGGGACATCATGGCTAGATATAGACAGTCAAAAAGCCCAAGGCTGAATCATTTCAATTTTCTCAGGTTAGTCTAAACTGTATAGATCGAACTGACAAGCAAGTGAACACCCATTCACTTTTGATTCCAGAAACGCAGCCGCATGCCTGCAGTGACCCAGGGCAGAAGCCAGGGGGCACTACAGCACACCTCCCTGCTCAGCTGGAATAAACAGCTTGGGCCAAGGCTAGCCCGCCCACCCTTTGAAGCAGGGTTTGCAGGGGGAGGTGCAAGGCATCCTGGGATGCTGGGGAACTGTGAGTTAACTTGAATCTGAAGGGGATCCAGGACAGACCAATTTAACCTAAATCAGTCAAGTCTGATACTACATCCGTCCAGGTTTATCTTTCACTGGTTTCGGCCATTTTGAAACGCTGTTTATGTATACTGGACTGAACTTCTGTTGTGTTACAGGTTAGAACCGGTTTTTGATCATTTATACCAGTTTACATGTAATTTCTGTCCCTAGCCCATGTCAGAAATCCTTGCCCTCTGCCCGTTTTCACAATATGTAGATGGGCCTCCCAGAAGACGCAGAGGTGGTCTGGATTTTGCCCTAGCATTCACTGGCCTGGTGCCACACATACATATATTTCTATTTCTAACTAGTAAGGGTTAGGTCTCTGGCAAGCGAGTGTCTTGTACATTTTTCAAGTCCTACCCACACACTCATTTCCAATACTGTATAAACCAAGATTCTTCAAATTATACTCAAAGTCTGCTGTGGCTTGGAGGTTTTCTGCTTAGTCACCAAAACAGCTGTAATAAGTGGAGCGATGAGAAAGGGGGTAGGAGGAGGGGATTTTTTTGTGTTTTTGTTTTTTTCATGGAGAGTGAATCAGCTTTTGTGCTTGCCTCTGAAAGAAAAGTCCCTTGGGTATCCAGTACATCTGTTTTTGTCCATAAATTTAATCTGCTAGCTCTTCAGGGTAGGCATGATTTTTTGTGTGTTTTGCATAGCACATACTGTCAGTGCTTAACTTCATAGCAACCAACAACAGTCCAGCAGAATGAAAAACTTTAAGGAAACAATTTGCCACAGCACAGAGTTTTAATGTGAATTAATCCCAAAGCACAACTTTTGATTTCTTTCAGCTGCACAAAGATCTGACATCAGACAACCACATAATTCCTGCCTTCCAGTGCAGAAACTATTAACTTCAATGGATGTAATCACAAGATCCAGAATGCAGTCAGGCAGCTTGTTTGTCCTGTCCCTTTTGGCTATCTAAAAGGGTCTTTTCTATTTTATGATCAGCACTACCTGAACCAAAACAATGGCCTTTTCTTAAGAAGTTTGGTTAAAAGGGGGCCTGGTTATCAGGTCACCCCCAAAAACAGAAAAAATAATGATTTGAAATTTTGGAGCGAGGCAAGAGTTTTCTTCAGTTTTTCAGCACTTTAGCCAATCATGGTAACATGTGCTGTTCAATCCTGACCAGCTTTTACTTGGCCACCTGGGTCATTAAGATAAAGAAAACTGATTAAAAATTCAAGTATTGCGGCATAAAATGGAAAAAAAATCCATTAAAAAAGCTGAAAAAGCAATTGTTGGCCAAGTCATTACTCTGTTTCTGGTTTACAGCACCTGGTGCAATCATAAAAATATATCTAAATATCCTATCTTTGCTAATAAAATCTCACAAGTCTCCTGTGAAGTCAGTAAGTGTTTTTATGCCATTTTACAACTGGGGAAGTAGAGAGAAATGCCAAAGGTCACCTACCCACCAAGCCAATGGCAATGCTGGGATATAATTGGGTTGCTCAAATTGTGATTGCCTTGCACCTGATGTAATAACATCCCTTGGTGTAAAATGGATGAAAAGTGCTACCTTTTTTTATTTAGCACCGTTTCAGATTCATTTTGAACATGGGTAAGAAAGCAGTGAAGGGGCTGGGCAGTAAACAAATGTAGGATGTTCTAACCCGGGAACGCCCGTTCTAACCACTACAAACTACTTCCATTCTGAATCTTCTGGGATACTACAGGGTTCCTTTGTCTCTTGGATCAATAGGTGTTATTTTTATTTATGTGAGTTATATACACCTCAGAGAGCTCTCCGTTACCTAATTTGGAGGGGAGGAAAGCTATATAAATAACAACACTATACCTTCACAGGGAAACTTTCCAGTCCAAAACCATCAAGACGTTCCACCTCCTTTATGTACATAAGTTCAGCATCTGCTGCTGGTATGCCACTACAATTAAAATACAGAAATGGGAAAAAATTGTTCAGCATTACAAGTCAAATTAAGAAGGCAACCAGAAAATGTCAAATCCACAATCCTCTGTAGAAGATACCTCTGAGATGTTGACAAAAAACATATAGTAAAAATCAACAGATCATCACTGGTCAACATGATAATTTAGTGCATTATCTATCCTGCTTCTAGTGGGAGGCAGACAGCACAGTCAATTTAGAGAGAAGCAACTGGATAACCAATGTGACAGAGAGGTACTTAAGTATTTAAAAAGTGCAATTCTCAAGCTTTTCAGATTGGGGACCCATCAGTCAATGTCAAAAGTTTTGATGACTCCTTTACATATGCTGTTAAAGTAAGAGCAAAGAAAATGTATATGACAGGAGAGAAAGATTTTCCTCATTCTAGAAAGTAATAATGATTTCCACTATTTCCTTACTTCATGCCTGATGTTTCATGACTCCTCTCTGGGTTAAAGCAACCCTAGTCTAATGTGAGAAATCTATTTCTTCAAGCTGGACGCATCTACACAAGACAATGTACAGCACACTAATTCTACTGCGCATTAGTAGGTCACAGCAAAAACTGTGCTATTGCACTAATAATGAGCAGCAGAATTAGTTTACTACACATTAAGCGTTATGAAAAGAATGTGTACTGTTGCTACTACACAACAGGGCTGTGCGAAACAGCACCACTCTGTTTTGACTTGTGTTTCGACGGAACAGTGTTTCATTTCAAATTTTGTTTCAATTTGAAACTGCTGTTCCGTTTCGTTCAGTTGAAACAGTTTTGCTGTTTCGATGTTTTGTCCATAGGCTATAATGGGGAAGCTCGAAACAGCCTATAACTTTTGTCATTTCTGGCCTGATGTGGATGAAACTTGCAGGAATGGTAGCCCTTTCTGAGGGCATAAAGCCTGCCAAGATCCAAGGAGATAGGTGCAGGGTGTCAGGGAAACTGCACCTCAAAGTCTTGAAAGCAAAAAACTCATGTCACGGGTATGCGTTAAGCCACAGTGGGCTCAAAACTGCAGGCATGCTAGCCCCTGCTGAGGCCACAAAACCTGTCAAGTTTCAAGCAGATAGGTGCAGGGCTTCTGAGTTCTGGGGCCATGCACCTCAGGCTGCTGACAGGCAAAACCCGTGACATGAGTGCTTGTGGGACTGTGTCTGTCTTGGGGCACAGGGGGGTGAAAACTGCAGGCTGGCTAGGCCCTGCTGTGGCTATGAAGCCTGCCAGGTGTCAAGGAGATAGGTGCAGGGGGAGTCTGGGCTCTAGGGTCCTGCACCCCTAGCTGCTGACAGGCAGAACTCATGACACAGGTGCGTGATACTGTGTGCGTGTTAAGGTGCGCCCTCACTCAGCTGACACCAAGGCAGAAAGCAGGGCAGTTCAAACAATGCTGCCTTTTATGCAGTTTTTCCATCCCTCCCCCAGAGCACTGGGATCGGATGGGACCTCAGGAAAGGATGACAATCACTGGCCAGCTACACAGTCAGCAATGAGCGCACTCCCTCTCCCCCACCCCCTCTCCTTACTTTAGTTTCTGTTTCCTTGCAGGCAAGCCCAGCTTGAGCTTTGAAACTTGAAATGTTTTGAAATTTTCAAAACTTTTAGACTTGCCTCGTTTCGTTTCAAGGCTGTTTTGAAGCTCTGTTTCATTTTGATTTTGCTGTTTCAAGCTCAAAACGAGTCAAAACAGCGTTGAAATGAAACCGCCAGCGAAATTTCGCACAGCCTTACTATACAATAGTAGCCCACTACTGTGCATTTAGTTAGTGCCTCATATTAGAGGTACTAAATGTATTGTGCAGTACTAATGGCACATTAATGCATGTGTAGATAAACCCACTGTCAGGAATCATGAAAGACTTCTAATAAAAAAATGAGGAAGGACTATGCCTAACTCTGGGAGAATGGGGAGGATGCTGGAGAAGGCATTCAGTATGCTAAGGATGCTGGAGAAAGAAGGTTGCTATTCAGTAACCAGCCACCAGGTCAGGAGTTGACATGACTGACAAATGGGTATAGGTTAGTGGTCCCCAGTCTTTGCTGGCCTGCAAGCCATCACACTGAGCACGAAATACACTAAGGGTAACATCATAATTTGCTCTCCTTGTTAACCTCTGTTTTGAGTTTTTATTTCTGTTACCATAGGTAGCACGGGAAGGTCTCACAGCAGACCTGTCGCCTAATAGCCATGGAACACGGGAGCAAACTTAAAACTGTAGATCCTTACACTGATTCCAGATTGATCATACCTATACCTCTGACAGAGGCATCTTTCTTCTGAGCTTTGGCAATACTTAAAGCACCCCACTAAATTGGGATGCCTTATATTTTCAATGAGCTATGAAAGTTAGTTGAAGTTAAGGGCACTTAGAAAAACAAGGCCACAAATATTGCTATTGGTCACTCAAAAATGGAGGCACCAAAATGTAAGAGACTTTTGAAATATTGGGACAGATCCTCTGCCCAATCCAATGCTGATACTGGACACAGAAGAGAGACAAGTGTGTGCATAGGTGTGTGTCTGTGTGTGCATACTCCAGTTACAGGTCTGGGATTCTCCATCTGGTCTCAACTCTAAGAACATATTTTCATTCCTCTATGCCAGGATTTATAGGTAGGAAAGCATACGAGTAAGTTGCGGGGGATGTACAGAGGAACTCCACCCACTGTGGTGGAATTAGTTTACTAGAAAGCAGGATGCAGTTTGCCCTGTTTATATATACACTGAGGAGGGGGATGTCCAAAGGGTTTAGCTGCAGATTTCCAAGTTAATATTTCAAGTAATTTCCAGATATAGAAATAGGCATTAGCACACTCAGAAGAGTAGTGCTCTCCACAAAGTACAGCATTTTCACTGACCGCCCAAGGTCACACTACTGTTACCTAAGTATTCAAGCTTGCTTATGCAGAAAGGATATTTGTCTTGGGGCATAGTTTAATTTGCACAGGTATAATTCAGAACCGTTGGATCCTGAAAGATCTTTTCTGTAGAAAAGAGACTCAAAGTCAGCCTGATAAGCATCCACTGGAATTGCTTTCGTTTGCATCATACTGAAATAAGCGACACGCTCTTCTGCTGCATGCATTTTAAATATATGCAGTGCCTGTTCCAGGGCCACTAACATTTACAAACTGTGTGAAAGGATTAACCTTTTCATAACAAACTCAGTAAGAACATAAGTGAAAACAGCAGAAGACTTTTATGCACCTAGCTTACCATACCACTGGTGGGTAATCAGGAAAAAAATGGTCTGTACCTTAATATTTTGGAGCTTACCAATGAGCTCTGTGTTCCTGAGCTACTTTTTGAGTCAGCTCCTCTAGGACTGCTTCATCTTGCGTCCAGTCCTATAAGAATACAAATGGGCAGAAGTTTTAATAAAGAAAATCAGCCAAGAATGAGATGCAAGATACCCATTATGATGGCATATTTTAAATTTGCCACCTTTCTAAGTTTGTGATGATACAGTAAAGACACCCAATATTGATTGCAACGAAAATCTGATTTTATCATTATTACCAAAATGTATACAAGGATAGCATACTGCAGCTGTCAGGGAAAATGTGAGGGTTGGGAAATGTTAATGATATTGTTAACTTGAAATGAATAAGGACTAGAAATATATGCCCTAATATAGAACAGAAAGGACTTTTCTTACTTTTGTATGTTTTAAATGAAGAGAACCAAAAGCATTGCAGTTTCTTTAATTAGAAGACCATAAAACCCTCTTGTGTTTTCAACACATGGCTAACTAGGAAATGGTTGTATGGTTTGGAAATGTATGTGTGGTGGAATAACTCTTGAATAAGTTGGGGCAAGATAATAAAGAAAACCTGGTCATAAACTCAAAGCAAAAAAAGAAGCCGAAAAAGTTACCTAGCAAAACCTCAAAGTGATGATATTTATAAAAAAAAAAAAAAGTAAGCCTCAAGGCTGTGTACCTTACATTTGACTATGCTGCCTCTTTCTTGCTCAATAGGGGCCTCCCTGCGATATTTGTTTCTGCCACAGAAAAATGTGAAAGTGGTAGTGTGCTAATGAAAAATGGCCTGGTACGTGCCTGTACACAGCTACACACCTGTGGGGTGTTCTGTGTACATAACTTTGTTCTTTTCATTGCTGAAGAAATGGCATTTGACACATAGTGTAACTTCCCAACATCAAACACAATCCAAATGCAGCTGCCCCTCCCCCATTCATCAGCCCACTTCACTAATGAATTTTTTACTAAAGCAATGTTCCTTTTCAAACTTCTGTCAGCGCCGGAAAGTAGCTGAAATCCCCTCACCGCTGTTCTAGGACTATATAGCTCTACAAAAGTTAGCAACGTTTACAGTACTAGTAGAGATATTTACTACTGTGGGCACGTCTACATGCGTGCTTTAATGCATAGTAGCCTATTTTAATGCACATTAAAACATCACAAAAACCATGCTCTTTTGCTAATGCACATTCAAATAGGTCAATACACCTTTTTCTAGTACCTCACAATGGAGGTACTAAATTTAATGAGCATTACCAAAAGCATATTAATGAACATGTAGATACACCCTGTGTCACCTAAATTTGCTCTGAGAAAGAAAGGATGAAAAGATTGTGACAAGACTGGTAGATCAGTCCTGGGCAGCAGAAAAATACATCTCTTTGGCTTTGAAGAAACGTAGTAACAGCAATAGAAATAGGAGGCAAGATACTGCAA